ATGATTACTGGTGCTGCCTGGCTACGAACGGGTGATTTGGGAACGATGGATCAGGATGGGTATTTGTACTTTGTTGGTCGAAAAAAAGAGATGTTTCTTCACAATGGAATGAAGATTTATCCTGGTGAGATCGAACAAGTTATTGGAGAACATGCAAGTATCACTGAAGTTTATATTTTTCCGATTCCTGACCCACGTGTTGACGAGACTATATGCGCATGGGTGAAACTCAAGCCAAATATGAAATGTGAAGTGGATGAGCTCAAAACATTTCTTAGCGATAAATTGCCTATTTACAAAATACCAGAACATATAAGGTTCGTCGATGAGTTCATTCGAAATGCGACTGGCAAGGTGCAAAAGTTCAAACTCGCCGAAGCTATGATCAAAGAGATGAACAAATGAAGATAGATTGTAGACTTGCTGTGTAATTCGAATATTTGCATTGTAGATTAAGCTTCTTGATGTTGAAAAAATATAAGATACATAATAAACACTATTCAAGTGAAACTTGAGGGTGTGGGGTGTGGGTATGTCTATATGATTCACACTCATATCCACCCACACTCTCGTATTATATTAGAGCTTAGTGCTTTTATTAATGCAGAGCCCTGATGAGTGTTGCAATATTTTAATAAAAAACACGAAACGCATCGGCAAAAGTAACTCTGCATTTCTTATAAACAACTTCTAATTCAAGCACATCTATTAAATACTTAATTTTCGACAGAGAAAATCGGTTGCTGAAAAGCAAAAGTTGAGAGTAGAAGATTGATTTGTATTTTCTTCAAGATAGATAGGTCAGTCAGTTTTTCAATTGACGTAAATGATGAACATAGATTTGAATTCGGGGATGATCATTAGGTAATTCCTTGTTCGCAGTAGAAATCGCTAACTCAAGGTAATGAATTGCTCGATAGAAGTCTAGTTGATGTGTGTAAGATAAGCCCATTGCATGATAAATCTCAGCGATGAATAAATAATCTTGGTGTTGTTTTAAAGCAAAATCAAGTGCTTTTTGCAAATTCTTCAGCGACATTGCCCAATCTTCTTGTCGATAATATACTCGACTAATACCAAAATAACTCGCTATTATTATATTTTCGAGTTGTTCTGGAAAATATTGATCTGAGGTTTGATATCTATTGAAAATGTCAATCGCCTCATTAAAATATTTTATAGCCATGGGAAAATTTTCTTTGCTCGAGTACAGTGCTCCAATATTATTGAGTAATTGAAGACGGTTTATAATATCATCTGATGCAACCTGTTGAAGTTGTTGATAACAATTTGCTATAAGATCATCTTGTTGATCAGAATTATCCGGCGCACAAGAGATTGTTCCATCTGCTTGTCGAAATCCTAAGCCCTCGCCATATTGACTATTTTTTAACAAATCAATTTGGAGCTGAAAACTTTCGAATGCTAGCTTATCCTTCGGTAGAATGGCAACGCGAGCAACTTCAATCGCTTTTTCCATAAATTTCAAAGCATTGATCATATCCTTTTCGTTTTTATATATTTTTGCCAATAATAAATATGTATTAGCAAACGTTTCATGATTTTCTGGAAGTTTTTTTAACTGATTTTGTAATGCTTTTTGTGTGATTCGTAATGCTTTATTGCTATTGCCTAAAGCAAATTGCATCATTCCAAGGTTAAGTTGTAATTTAGATATATCAACATGATTTTCGCCCGCTTGTGATTGTAAAAGTATTTTTAAAGCCGTTTCTAAATGATCCACAGCTCTCGGTAGATCATTCATTTCTTTGTAGACTGCACTTATATTATTATGTGTTATGGCTAATGATTCATGATTGTTCCCAAACTTTTGAGTATCAATCTCCAGTGCTTTTTCTAATACTTCCAATGCTTTCTTCAGTTCTTTTTTCCGCAGATAGACATTTCCCAAATTAATATAAATTGCAGCAAGATCTGTATGTGTAGACACAGTACCTTTCAGACGAATATCTAATGCATGATGTAAATATTTCAAAGCATTTTCATCATCACCTAATTGTACATATATTTCACCGATATTATTATACATAGTTGCCATTACAGGATTATACTGATTTGTTTTTAAGATTTGTTCTTCAATGTGTAATGTTTTTTGAAAATATTCTAGAGCTAATTGTTTCTCTCCCTTGTTTCGATATACGAGAGCCATTTGATTGTAGGTATATGAAAGTGATTCAGGTGACTTTTGAATATCTGTGGCCATGGTGAGATATTTCATCGCTAAATCAAGATTACCCAGTTGTTGATGAGCTGCACCGAGCTGAGTATATACATGGCCGATATATTCTCGTTGGTCATAAATATCTGGTGCTGTAAAGTATTTTAAAGCTTTCTCATCATATTGAATTGCAGTTTGATAATCTCCTTTATCAAGGGCAATCATTGCCAAATCTGAGTAAATATGACCCATATTATGATGATCTTCGGGAATATATTCAAGTAACATGCGAAAATAACGTTCTGCTCTTTCGTAATCGCCCATAGCTCTGAGAACTAAACCTAGACTACGTAAATTCCCTTTATCGCAATATTGTTGCTCTAAATCATTTCGAAGTTCATTCATTTCACTGTCATCTTCGACTAATTCTAGTTGAACATACCAATATCCGTTGACGGGTCGTCGATTTTCAATATATTTGATACGAAACATAGATCCGACCGAAAATACTACTTCATCTTCATCAGAAAATTGACTCAATTCATTGATTGAAGCAAATGGTCTCTTGATCATTGAACGAGTAGTATCCACTTCAATTTCAAATAGCACGGATAACATCTTAGTATCTTCACCTAAGCCAGAATACATTTCTGCGACATCACGAGTTGTAGTTGTAGAAAAGAACGTATTCACTGACATTAAATGCCCAATATTATTCTTGATACTATTAAATTCTAAACTGGTCATCACTTGTCCACGAAACACCGTACGTGGAAGCTTATCAGGAAATTGTTCAGAATGTAATTTTTGTAAATGTTTGTACATATCGGCTAAGAAAAATCGAAAGATAAATAATAAATCAATATTCTCGGTTCGAAAAGCTCGATTAAATAAACGATATAGAAAAGAATCATTTGTATAAAATTTTAAAGCTTCACTAGATTTATAATTTTTCTCGAAATTAATCAAATCCTTTTCTGCTTTGGCACGATCTTTCTTTATTTCTGCATCGATCATGTTTTCATCGATCTTTTCATCATTATCATTATTGCCAGGAATTCCAAAATGTTTTCGACATTCATCCAACATTTCATCTTTAGCGTAATCATTATGTGGAATTTGAATAAGAATATCAATTAATAATTGAAGCCATAAAAATTTCACATTATTTTTATTTAAATCTCGAACTGTTTTCTCATTTTTATCTCGATGAAAGACGCTTAACGGCATTTCGGAATAATTTAAATGATGTTTGTATTCTTTTGATAATTCTTCAGCCAAACAGGGAATATCCGAATGTATTCCATGGAGTTTTGGATAGGAAAACTGTGATCTTCTAGTTAAATCTGCTTCAGTTTGGACTATATAAATAGCAATTACTTGGGAGTACTCGGCGACCTTTTCTACAACCATTTGATTATTTGAATGGGACGAAATGAAAAAAAATTTTGTATCAGTAGAGGATTTAATCACATCAATAGATTGATCGAGACTGTAAAATATTTTTAGCGGAATATTTATATTGGATATAGGTGATGTATCAATTGTTGTAAGATTTTCTTTGTCTACTAGCCAGATAATCCGATATGTGTCGAGATTAATTGGTTCTTGGATTAAAAGTTTGGTTTTTCGTTTAATCGGCTTGACTACATTCATTGGCATTAAATCTTGTCGAAATATATCAATATCTTTTAGTAATTGCTCATCGGCATTTGGTGAATCTTCTTGAACAATAGCTCGAAGTTTCGGATATCGTATTGTTGTGTAGGATATTCTCTCTGGTGATCGAGAATAAATATAAAAATAAACAATCTGTGGTAAATGATGAATTAATTCGATTAGATAACTGAAATGATCAGTCAATGTCAAGAAAACTTTTCGCCATTCATACGATGTAATGAAATCTATACATTGATCGGCATCATGAAATATCCTATAATTTTTTTCCAATATGATCACATCAATATCGTTTTTTTTCCATATTTTACAAAGTTGCATATTTTCTCCTATATCATATCGTTCGTCTAGATGGATTTCAATGAAATCTTCATTACCATATTCTGTCTCCGGAATCGCATCCGTTGGTACAGGAGCGATTGTCCATGATGTCATCTTGAGAACTATATGAAAAATTCAAATATTGCCAGATAGAAATGACTTGGACGAAACTTATGGTTGTTGTTCGGTGCAAGCTTTTTTTTTTAATTGATATATATATATAGTGACTGTTGAAAAAACAATGCACTGGAGAGAAGAACAAATAAATTCAATGTTGTATTTATTATTGTTTCTTAAAAGAAGCTTTAAAAAAAATGATGAATATGCGCATTTTTATTTGAAAGAAAAATGAAACAGTATTTTTTTAGAGATATTCAAGGGCATTTCTTCAGTGATGTTTAATTCTGATCATTGACATCTATGCCACGATTTTTGAAAAAATCAACAAATAGGATGGACATTTTGATCATACAAATGTTTGTCTACTTGAAAAACTGAACATGTCCATTGAACAACGATAATTGTTTGTTGAGAGTTATTCCGAAGTCGATCGGATTGTCTAAAATGGTTCAATGAAACCAAGGGAAGACTTCGTGTTATCGAAATATGTTCTAAATGATCGTCTACGAATCAGTGTCACTTCGTCTGATCTTATTGAGGATCGAACTTCGAAAGTTTTCTCTTGAATCGACACTCGTTTTACAATCGATTGGAACAATTATGAACGAAAGTCTTCCTCAAACACGCGAACAATAAGATGAAGAATTGATTGATTGAAGAAAGAATGATAGACAATCTCGTTCGTTCGACGAATGAGTATGGAAAAGAAGAGAGAAAAGTCTCGATGCTATCATTCATCAATATTGACTTGGATAAACGTGTCTCACTCATAGTCAATCTTCGAAATAAAAGACGACAATATCAAAGAGATTGTGTTCTCGTCAATCAGTCAATGACTTTCAGAAATACTTTTCGACGACAGCTTTGATTTTTGCTTCGCTGAGAAGAGAAACAAATATTAGTTGAGTATCAAGCGTTCAAAGTGTTTTCACATGTGTTGATGTATTTGCTATATCATAAAAAAGACATACCACATGTAATAGTCAGAGTTTGATTTATTTTAGGGTGTCTGTTAATAGAATGAATGGCATAGGCACTGTGAAAAAGTGTTTTTATTAGTAGTCGTAGAAGAACTGATTTGTTTATTTTGACTTACTCGTCCACCTTTCTTTCACAATGCATTGAAACAGAAATGAAAAAAAAATGTACAATAAAGAGAGACTTTCAAGCTGTTTTACTTTGTTTATACTTCTTACTGTCTCCTTTTTTTGTCCTGACTGATTTCTCTGTCTTTTTTCAAGACCTCGGTAATTTTTTTCTCAAAAAGAAATCCTAGAAAAAAAACCAGCAAAGAAGCGTACAAATAAGCTCTTCATTGTCCGTAAGATTTAATGATCATCGTATCGACTTTTTCCAATTTATCCAAATATGGAATTATTGATCATTGAATAACATCATATATTTTCCTTTTTTTCGAATTAGTAATCGTGAAAAATGTCGTTCGATTCTATTCCGAAATCATTCTCGAGCACATCTCATAGTGTGGTTTCAAAAGATGATATGTCAACCTCTGACAGTTACACTTTTGCTCCAAATGGTGTAATTCTGGCATACCCAGAAACTTATGATGGATCAACGAGCCATCAAAATTCAGACAGTGTTATCAACCCTATGAGACGATTTTCTTTCGATTTACTCGTGAAAAAATTGTTTTAACTTTGTAAATTTCTAGTCGAGAGCAACATTTTTAAATGTCTGGTTTTTATTTCTGTATCCAATTGAACAACTCAATCACTAACATGCATTATATGTGCATCTTCTAACCTGTATAAAGTCTTTGTTAAACAGACGTGCAATTTTATTATGAACAAGCTTTCACTAACCGAAAAACATGGGGGTAACAAGTGTCAGAAGTACTTTTGTCAGAAAAAACGCGTATGTAACAGATGTCTTTCTCTAAACGTGCCGAAGAGAGGCATAGGACCGTGTGGGTATGGGTTCTAATCCTCCCCTTGCTCACACCCACACCCACACCCCACACCAATGTGAAAGTTCAAGCAAAACAGCTCGGTTAAAGTATACCCATGTTCAAAAAGTTCCCGGACTGTTTTTATTTCAAAAAACAAAATGAACTACACTCATAAGTTTATGTTTTGAGTGTGAGGTGTGAGCGAGTGGGTGGAAGTGGATGACCTTGAAGGCAATGAGTACACTTGCATCCTTGAGGTCTGCATAGGTCAAGCACAAGAAAACTAAAGCTCGATTCTGGGTGCATTTTGGATTCTTCACCTATTCTATCCACTTGTTGGCCCACTGAATCCGACGCATCTTTTTCTGAGATAATACTTAGGGTTATCCAAAAGTAGTGATGGAGGTTCTTTTTTTCTTATAGAAAGCTAGAAAAAATTTTCTTTTTTTATGAATAGATAGAGCGTCTTTCGCTCTATCTTTCTATGCTATTTGATTACCATTAAACTAGTATCATAATAATAAAATTTCGATAAAAACTATTTTTGTTGAAAACTAGCTAGTAACATTTAGATCATAATGAGTGTGGCATAAAAAATGGGACACTTTTACATTTCATTCTATTATCACTCAATACGTTGTATTACAAAAAACAAAATATACCAGAAGATGCAGCGTGAAAAACTCTACAATTTATAAAGTACTGCTTATTTCATAGTTGTACCTTTTGTTTTAAAAATGAACAAAACTCTGAGTTACCAAGTTTCGACATGATGAAAACGAGACTCTTTTTGGTAAAAAAAATGAATTTGTTTTTTTTTGTCTTATCATTGTATCATTGCTCTTTGTAAATTGTAGAGCTCTTCACGCTGCATCTTGCAGTGTGTTTTGCTTTTTAAAATAAAACATATCAAGTAATAAAAAAATGAAATAGGAAAAACGAAATTCATCTTTTATCAAAAAAAAAATCTCGTTTTCGCAAACAGTGTTTCTAATGGAATTCTAAAACAAAATGTACAGTACACGCTGTTTTGGATAAGCAAAGTGTACAGCAAAATGTACACAGTCATTTACATTACGGAAGTGAAGCGAAAGAGCAAAAAAAAAGAAAAAGTTCTAGTATAAACTAAGACATTATAAAATTGTCCAGAAAAGTGTACACGCTACTTTTTTAAGCAAAGTGTACAGCAGTGTGTATTTTCATAGCTGCAGATGTTTGTACATTTTGCTTCTGTAGTGTACACTTGCCATTAGAAACACTGTTCGCAAAGTCGAAATTTGGTAGCTCAGAGTTTTGTTCATTTTTAAAACAAAAAGTACAACTATAAAATAAGCGGTACCTTATAAATTGTAGAGCTTTTCACGCTACATCTTTTGGTATATTTTGTTTTTTCAATAGAACATATTATGTGATAATAAAGTGGAATGCAAAAATACCACATCCATGATGATCTAAATGCTACCAGCTGGTTTTCAACAAAAATAGTTCCTATCGAAATTTTATTATTATGATACTAGTTTAATGGTGATCAAATAGCATAGAAAGATAGAGTGAAAGACGCTCTATTTATTCATAAAAAAAGAAAATTTTTTCTAGCTTTCTATAAGAAAAAAAAGAATCTTCGTCACTACTTTTGGATAACCCTAAGTAGCACAGCAGGAAGAACGAAGATGATAATTTTCGAACCCGTCGTAGAGAAAAAGTGAAGGCTATTTCGTTGTAGATGATAGTGATTAATGTTGAAGAAACTAAGCTGATAATCATGCTGAGGAAGAGAAGTGATCACCAATCTTAGAAAGCGGCATAGACGAACTCTGGATTGGGTATGGAGAAAGTTGATATGAATACACTGAATACTCTCTGAATTTCTTTTAAAAGCAGTACATCAGATAAAATGTATCACATTTTCAAAACTCTGTGTAAAAGATAAGTTTCAAGTAACACTTACCAATAGTATTCTTGTTGTTACGAGTGACACAAATACAGACTGTTATTTTAAGTGAATTTTCTTCGTTTGTTTTAAGTAAAAAATACAACAATGCCAGAAGTCTTTTTATATTCTTCCTCTGACGTTTTCTCAACTTTATTTGATTGACTGGAAAAGGAATTTCTTTTACCCATCGTTTCCGAGAGGAATGAAACCGGTCGATAAATAAAATATAATCGCTTTTCATGGAAGGGTGGGGTGTGGGTGGGTGTGGGGTGTGGGTGTGGGTGTGGGTGGGTGTGAGTGTGGGTGTGGGTGGAGTGTGGCTGTGGGTGAAGAGAAGATCCACACCCACACCCACACCCTTTATAACAGTATTTTTTTTTAAATAATAATACATTATTCTTTGATAGTTTCTTCTTTTTGTACTAAACTATCAAATTTTATTGCGAAGAAAATAGATATATCACAAATGAATCGGTTCAATATAAATAAAAAATGAATTTGAAAAAAAAATCCACGTTAGTATCAATCATAAAAAATAGTACTTTGAAGATTTTATAATTTCGATTGTTCTTCGACATTAATTGGTTTCGTTATTTTATCAATGGGTTGATAAAGTGACTGAATAATATGTTGAAAATGATGTCGAACTGCTGTTCGTCGAGTTTTTAATGTTGATGTAACAAAATGATTTTCTTTTGAAAATGCTTCTGGATGAAGATAAATATTACTAATTGTTTCATAATATTTAAATTTATATTCTTTAGCTAATCGTTTTAAATCAGCTAAAATAATTTCTTTAAGTTTTTCATCTTTACATAAATCTTCAAATGATAGATTTGGATTTGTTGTTTGAAATTGACTTCGTACATATTTTTGATCAGGTATAGTAATTGCTATAACAGTTGATTCTGTTGATATTCCATCAACAAATATTTGAGCTACCCATCGAGAACGAATATAAACATCTTCAAGACGTTCAGGTGCGATATATTCACCTTGATTTAATTTAAATATATGTTTTGTACGATCAATAATTCGTAATGCACCATTACTTGTCCATTCACCAACATCACCAGTATGAAGCCAACCACCTTCATCAATAGTTTGACGAGTTTTCTCTTCATCACCATAATAACCTAGAAAAAAAATCAATTGATTCGATTTTCAAATATATTAAATTGACCTTTAAAAATAGTTGGGCCTCGCATACATATTTCTCCTTGATTATTATTACTTCGATAATTTGTACCAGGTATATCAATAAGTTTTATTTCAACTGCAGCACCAGGTGAACCAACAGTACCACATGAGATATCACCAATATGTGTACTTGTACCTGCAGCTGTCGATTCAGTTTGACCATATCCTTCGATAATAGGTATATCAAGTGCAATACGAAAAAAATGTAGCACTTCAGGTGTAATTGGTGCTGAACCAGTTCCCATCGAAATAGCTTGTCCACCAAATAAATTTTTTACTTTTCGAAAAATAAAACGTGAAAATAATGTTGGTTGATCATAATATAATGCACATGAAATAAGAAAACATTTTATTTTACTTTTTCCTACTTCAGTCATTATTGTATCATAAATTTTATTTAAAACTCTTGGTACCATAGCAATACCTGTTGGTCTTACAATTGAATAATATTCAAAAAGTTTTTCGGGTATTGGACAAAAAACAACTTGTGTACCATGAAGGAAACTACGGAGCAGATTTAAACGTTCATATATATGTACCATTGGTAAAAATGAACAATGTCGAGTAACAGATGGAATTGCTATATTAGCACGTTGTCGACGTTCAATACTACCTTTTACTGTTGCCAAAAAATTTGTATGAGATAACATTGCAATTTTAGGTTCACCTTAAAAGTAAATATTATTAAATGTTTTTGAGAATTATTTTTTTTTCTCTCTCGAAACCTGTTGTTCCACTTGTTAGAATAAATGTAGCAATACTCTCTGGATCAATCTTAGGTCGTGGACGAACATCTGATTGTTGCATAGTTTTTAAAATTGTTGGAATGTTCTTTATTTTTTCATTCGATTTACTTGATACATCATCCATAACAAGAATTTCTTTTATATAATTCTTTTCCAATAATTGATTTTTAAATGAGTCAATACGATCTAAGTTATCAACAACAAATACTTCAGCTTGTGTCTTATCTAGGATCGATAGAATAGTTGATGAATCATATGTTGTATAAAGACCAACAACAATAAATCCATACATATAACATGCATGTTCAACAAATACATATTCTGGTCGATTGACTGAAATAATAGCTACTTTTGATTGTGTTGGAGTTAGTTTAGCGTCTGTCCCTAAATGTGAACCGATCAGACGTATACGTTCTAATGCCATGGAATAGGATATCCAATTAAGTGGTTCTGTTTTATTTGCTGGATCAAGAAAAGCTACACATGGTCCGTTGTTAGAAGCAGAATAACCATAATAGAAAATATCACCTAATGTTTGTACAGTAGGAGAAATTATTTTATAAAACGAAAAAATATCAATATCTTTATAAAAAGTACAACGACGAATATGTTCGACGGAATCGATTTCAACTGTTTGATTTTTCAGATCAATTCCATCATCATATTTTCGTTGTAGACGTGATTTATATGCGTATGCACCGACAACAGCTCCAGCAGCTAATGCAGCGTAAGCACCATTTGATTTGGAAAATGATGGAAGCATTTTTTCTGAAAGAAAAAGAATTTTACAAATAAAGTCGGATGCTTGAATATCCTTCTTTCTTTTTCCTTAAAAGAAAAAAACAATGTCTAACAAAAAACTGAATAATAATCAGAAATAAAGTTTTATATAATGGATAACCAATAATTAATTCAGTATGATCATTAACAAATTATTGATTATTATCAAGTTTTAATAAAACATAATTTTTATAGAAAATGTTAAAATAAAAAACTTGTTTCTAATAACAGTTGATAAACATAGTCGATTTACTGGTGCTAAAAAGTGGCAAAGAATTGAAATTTTATTTTTGTGTTCTTCTTAATTAACAATGATAAATCAGATGCATTTAAATATGTCTATAACAAGCATTCCATCCAATAATGTGGCTTTAATTAGACTGTCTACAGAAAAGAATTCGTAAATACAGCTCTTAAAATAGAGATAACAATGTTTTGTTTTGTTAATATCTTCTAACGCTGTTTATCAACTCCGTCATTTTTATTTTCTATCCTTCAAAAGTCTTTACATGTTCTTCTACAGCTTTCTTATTCTTTTAAATTATATTCACTATGAATCAGCATACTTTGGACAAATAAGAATCGTATCTTCACCAATACTTCGTGGAGCTGTTTTACATATAGATGACAAAACACAAGTTTTGTAATTGCGTCTAAATAATCTTAAAAAAAACAAAACTAATAAAATAGTAGATTTCTACCACTCATCTTAGAAATAGTTTTTTGTGCAATTATTGAAGTAGACATCTTCTATTTTATCTAAAGATAATCATTCTGGAATCTATGTTGAACATTATGAACAATAGCTGCTCCTTGTAATAGCTAATACAAAATAAAATAAAATTTTAGTTTTATAAAAAAACAAAAATTAATTACTGATTGACTTTTAGATGGTCATAGGAAGTGAGCCAAACATATCAACCAAAGAAATCTTGCTCACTTCATATAGACCGAACGAACCAACCAAATTCGAGTCCTCTTTTTACCACAATATGTCTATTTTTTTCTTTTCTTATTTTTCAATGAGCCATTGACAATGACAGCTGCAACATATAACTTCTTGCATTTGCTTTTGTTTTCATTAATCTTTTGATCGAACTTCTGAATCTCTACTTCATAAGTACAGAATTAATTTTATTTTCATAAAACTTAGATAATCTATATGAAATTCACAATAGCTCTGTTAAATATTCGTAAGATCAAAAGTGCTAAGGATAATAGTCAATTGCATTGTTATCATCAACGAATTCAAAATAGAGTTGCAACTGTGATGCTTGAGACGAATCGGGTGAATCTTTAACAATTAATTTAGTTGCGTAGATGCACCGTTTTAATATTGATCGAGTCAATAAAGATTTATGCGATGATCGAGTAACTTTTAAAAAAGGATTTGGCACCAAATTATGAATGACATTTGAACGTCGACTGGAAGAATGTGTGAAAGAAATTGCAGAAGATATCGATTCTGCATTAGTGACCGTTGAATATAGTGTTTCATTTATTCTTGCGCGTATATATTCAAAACAATCAAAATTTAAAGCAAGTAGCAACTGACTTTTTTCGTAATATTATAGCATCGAATGAAAATAAACCAATAAAGATCTTGATTTTAAAACCAATGCAGTCTGTGTAATATAGTTTCAATTTGGAAGATATTGTTTTATTTCCATAGGCTCACTCAACAAATGATTTCATCTATACCACCACTTCCATTAATTGAAAGTAAAAGAATTGCTACTTGTTTAACCACAAGCCAATATAGTAATATACATATTTTGACTTCCGATAAAAATTTCACTACATCGTCATCCTTGCGGATGCTGACGTTGTACTTTGGGTGTGGGTGTGGGTATTTCCATCATTGTCACCTACACCCACACCCACACCCACACCCACAGAGGTATGTTCAGATTTCCAAAAAAGGAAATTACGGAAATTTCTGTAATTTTCAAGAACACGTAAACTCACAAAAAAGTATTTTTGAAAATTTGTGACGTCAAAGAAATTTCGGAAATTTCAGAAACTACGGAAACTTCTGAAAGTGAAAGTTATGGAAATTTTAGAAATTTCGGAAATTACCGAAATTTTTCGAAGTTATGAAGCTTTTGAAAGCATCACTTTGAAAATTTCCGAAATTTCCGTAATTTCCTTTTTTGGAAGTCTGAACACTGCTGAAACTTTCGCTAAAGACTAATAAATAAAGAAATGTGAAGTATTTGCTTTCTTATTTTAGAAATGAAAATCAATCACATAATGTAGACTGGTTAATAGTAGAGATATGAATAATGCCTCTATCGCAATCTGCTGTCATTTATACCCTTTTTTTTTGTCTTGCTTACCAGATCAACATGCTCAAGTCTTTTTCTTATCACTATTTCAAGCAAAGAGCATTCATACAAGTCACTTAACAAAAATATCACACTGATTGTTCGCAACCATCATTGCTTTTCTTCTACAATAACTCTCTTTAGGCTACTGTATTCATAGAAACATACTTTTCATTATTACAGCCTATGCAACCAATCTTTGTTCGACAAGAATGACAAACAAAAAAGACCTATAGTCGCATAGTTTCCTTTCAGAATGTGTAGCGATTTTTTTTTTCTTAGAGTCGATCACTAATGCGCAAATAGGTGAACTACAAAAGCAACATTTTTCTTCCAAGTGTTTACTCGAGCGAAAGCGAGCGATGGAGAAAAATATTCATCGATGATTTGATTATAAAGTAAAAATAGCGCAACTTTATCGTGGAAAATGACGATGTTTGATTTGTCGACTAGCTTTTGTTCTACTCTCGGAAAAGATTCCGGGAAAAGGATTGTTTTTCCAGCCCACCGAATGTAATCTAGACATGAAAAGCATCAGAAAAAAAAGTATAAGAATATCTTGCATCATTGCAGTTTTTTTTACTGCGAAAAAAAGAAGAAAATTCGTTTCAATCAACAGTGTGTAAAGGTGCCACCTGTAACAACAAGATTATCATTGGTAAGTATTGCTTGAAACTTATCGTTATACAGCGCTGTGAAAATATGACTTATTTTATCTGATCTGCTGTTTTCAAAAGAAATTTAGGTAGTGTATAGTGTATTCATATCAGCCTTCCAACTATCACCTTCTAAAGTTACTTTTTATCGCTTTTTTTACATCGTTGATCATTCATCTTCCCCAGCACTATTCTCAACTCATTACCTTCTTCGTTAATCACTGTTATCTGCGATGAGAGATCCTTCTGTCTTTTCGTATGACAAGTTCAAAAATTATCATCTTCACTTTCTCTGCAGCAGCACAGATACCGATAATATCACTCATAGAAACTTTTAGAACTCGGTAACTTTTATTTTCTCTCAATTTGTTGCATGAGAGAGAGATGGTAACAAGCAATATTTCGGATAATTCATCGGTGATGCGTAGAATCATAAATCAGAAAAATCAATACCATTTTTCTCTACGACGAATCAGACGAAGTGACCGATGTAGAGAGAAATACATCATTAACTTCAGTGTGGATAAAAATACCCAATCGTTAATGGAAAAAACATATGCTTACTTCGTGCATCGATTTTCTTTTTCTTTTTTTGTGGCTTGAGAGACTTGTTGAGAATAGAGTTGCTTTGCTAATCAATGAAACAAGACTTTAAAGTGGAAATCACTGGGAAAAAATATAAGGATACTATCATCACAATACTTTTTTATTCAGACAAAGGCTAGCAAGCTGACTTCAAAAACAGCTGCGTTTGCCTGTGTTACCAGTAATTATAAAGAAATCATTGCTGAGTGTTGCTTATCAAACTTACTTCCATGCAACACTCGGAAGATATGGCAGTATTCATTAAGTGTAGGTATTTAGAAAGTAAAGTTGAGTTAGCATGTTCTGTATTCATATCGAGCTTCTTTCTATCTATTTAATTAGTTTGTTTGTATCGCCTTCTTACATCATGGATTACTCAGATTGGCCAGCACTATACTCTTATTGTTTCTGGCTTTACTCATCGCTGTTGTTTCAATACGAGTTTTTTTCGAATGCAAAAAATATCGAGAGGATCTATTTGGCCATGACAAACTTGCGTTTTTCATTTCCAGATGTTTTGGTTTTTTACAATGTATGCAAAATTCCTCTACTGAGTGCCATGTACAAGAAAAATTTTGTTGATAATGTATGGGACTAAAACGAGTAGAATGTTCCGAAAAATAGTTAATCATATGGAGGGTGTGCGTGTGTTTAGGTGTGTGGGTATGGGTGTGGGGTATGGGATGGGTGGGTCTGTGGATGTGAGACCTAGCTGAAGAGAAAACCCACACTCACATCCACCCGCATCTCACTCACACTCACATCCACACCCACCCACATCCACACCCACCCACACACCCACATCCACCCACACACCTACGTCCCACACCCACACCCCACACCTACACGCACACCCACACCCTCAACAAAAACAACAGAATAAAGTGGCTGGGTAACTTCCTGCATGCTGCAAACGAATGTTGTCAGTCACTTTGTCGTTTTTCATTTTGTTAGGAATACCATCTCAGAGACCTTAAACACCAGTCGTGAATATTTTTGAATAGCAGGATATTTTTATTGGACAGTTTTTCAACATTTTCTTAAAATCTGATACCATAAAACGAGGTGGAACACTATGTCGGCGTCACTGCCGGCACTCAAATAAAAATCTTGCAAGTAAATCCATCTGTCCTGTAGAATCAAATAGAAACGAAACTGGGCAACTCAACGCGATTTATATTCAGTCAATGTCACAAGTCATACCACTAGTAATGGCTTGTGAAGATGTCACAGATATTAGCGATAGACTCAAGTTTTCGGCTAATATTGGTCGAATCAGAACCGTCTTCATACAATCGAATACATCGTAGAATAGTAACAGTTGAAAAATGTTGCATATGCGGAACTCCTTAAAAAACTATACAAGATACGCCGTTTTAGAGGTACATTTCCAAATAAAACTTACAAAGCTTTCC